AGAGAGACAGCGTGAGAGAGTGAGAGAGGGAGAGGGGGGGAGGGAGGGAGGGAGATAAGAGCAATAAAACTGCCCATGTGACCTCTGCAGCTTTTAACGGGCAGCTGATGGAGGAGCGAGAGAGAGAGAGAGAGAGAGAGAGAGAGAGAGAGAACAGGTGGAGGTGTGGACAGGTAGAGGAGGAGAGAGAAAGAGAGAGAGAGAGAGAGAGAGCACACACACTGCAGCTCGCTTTACCTGCACACAGGTGAGACAGAGAGGCGCGAGAGGAGAGCGAGAGACAGGCTGGATCCGCAGTATGCTGAGGGAGTCCCCTCACCTGGAAAGATGTACGTGAGTTACCTGCAGCTGGATAAGGACCCGACCATGTACCCGCACCAGAACCCGGTGACCCGCCACCCGGGCCTCAGCCTCAGCCCGCAGAACTTCGCGGTCCCCGCCCCGCCGCAGTACTCGGACTTCGGCTACCACCACCACCACCACAGCATCAACAACGACCTGCAGCAGGCGGGTCCGGGCCCCGGCGGCTGGAGCTCTGCCTACCCGCCTCCTCCTCCTCCCACCCGGGACGACTGGTCGTCTCACCACTACGCCGCCGCAGCCGCCGCCGCAGCAGCCGGGGGGCCTCCCGCAGGGTCCACGGTACCCGGTGGAGTGGGGCCCACACTGGGGTTCAGCCCCCAGGAGTTCTCTGGGCAGCTGCCCGCGTCCCTGAACGCGTCGGCGGGGCAGCTGTCCCCCGGATCCCCGCAGAGGAGGAACCCGTACGACTGGATCCGACGCAGCTCCGGACCGCCCACCAACCCCAGTAAGACCTCCATTAATAACTCTATTCTACCTCTAATTAGTATTATTTATTCACCTTATTAAGTAGAAATAATCTGTAATATCTCTTTATTTAGCCTCATAATTAACTTTATCTCCAGTCTGTCCACTTTAATGCAGTTTAATTGTGAATATTTGATATATATTATATAATATTTAATATACTGTGTTTTATTCCCGGTAAAACAAACTGACTGTTTAACATTTTAATATGAGGCCGATAGCAGCAGTGATACTCAAATTCAGCATTATACTCAGAGAGCAGATAGCAGCCTGACAGGAAGAGAGGCAGCTCTTTTATTTCCAATTAATCAATAATGTGAATCAACTCTTATTTCCAATCAGACTGAAAATGAGTTTTAATGGATTTATAACTTTTCTTCATATGAGCAGTTTTATAAAAAGAAGATAAAACTTATTTAAACCTGCGACACATTCTTAATAATAATAATAATAATAATAATAATAATAATATAGAGCTTTTATATTAGTTAACAACAACAAGCAGCCTAATAATTGTTATTATTGAGATATTAAAGGTAAATTATGTCATATTTTTTATTTTATTTTATTTATTTTGAAGTTAAATTTCAGTTTTTCTTGATTTGCACCATAAAGCTTTATATATTATACAGGCTATATTATATATTATATATTATTTATTACTGCTCCTCTCTGCAATTAATGCACCTAAATATCCAAGTTGTCAAAGATTACAGACTCGATCTCTGACTGATTTTTATATATTTATTATATATGATACAGATCCATAAACTTTCTGTCCAGTTTTATTTGATTTTATTGACATTATTTATCTATTTATTGATTTGTTTCTTCCATTTACTGAAGTAAGTGCAGTGAAGTTTTCCCTGTTGTCAGATATCTGAAGCTCTATAATATTAATTAATAAAACCTATAAAGTAAAAGAGGAGGTGAAATGTTCCCACCGGTTCGGTCCCGTGTCGGCGTGTCGCGGATCAAACGTGTGAATCCGGTTTGAAGCCGTTGTGATGTAAATGTTCCCCCGCTGGATGTGACTCCGGCCGGCTGAGCTCGGCCTTTGTCCTCCGCTTGTCTCTGGGCGGAGAAAACAAGACAGTTCCCACTTTGAAGTGTGTGTGAATAAAATCACAGAGTAGAAATACTGAAACAGTAAAAGTCCTCAATTCAATTTAAAGTACGGAATTATACGGAAGCTCATTGCTGCCAAAATCTCTTTATAATGAGAAACTTTATCAAAATATTGATATTTTAGGCTTTAATCTGATATTGTAGTGTTTGAAACAGACACTATTACATAAGTTTCTCTTTCTTTCAGATATTAAGTCATTATTTAGATAAAATAAGTTATTATTTAGATAAAATAAGTTATTATTTAGATAAAATAAGGTATTATTTAGATAAAATAAGTTATTATTTAGATAAAATAAGGTATTATTTAGATAAAATAAGGTATTATTTAGATAAAATAAGTTATTATTTAGATAAAATAAGGTATTATTTAGATAAAATAAGGTATTATTTACAGATATTAAGTCATTATCTTTGCGTCCATATATTTCTGAATAATGTGATTTTATTGGATCACTTTAATGTTGCAGCTGATAAATGTGGAGCTCATTAGTTTGTGAATTCAACCTGATGGATCAATACAGGTTTCATCTTAATGTATAATACATCATCATTAATTAGTTGATTAGGCTATATCAATAATCTGAAGTAATTAATAATCAATGATTAGAGAAAAGTTGGGAACCAGTGGACTATCAAACTGGAGCAGCTCTAACATTGATTATTGATTAACATTGATTAACAATCTAATAATGTCACATAGGGTCACTGACAGGTTCTTTACTCGTATTCACATTGTGGTATTAATACTTTTACTTAAAGTATCCAAGTATTTCTTCCACCACAGTAGCTATCTGGATGATCCCAGAAATAAAATGCAGATTATCTATAATAAGATTTATTGATTGTTTGTTGTAAGTAGTCTCATTTATTTTAATTTATGTCTCAGGTGAACTTTATAAACTGGATTTTAGATGTTAAACTTTTATTGTTTGGTGACGTCGGGGTTGAAACTCTGTGTATTTATCTCTTAATGTTACCTTGAATAACGGACTTTGAATGTCGTTTATCTTTCCGGAAGTTTCCCGCTCCTATTGACTTCTCGGAAACTTTTAATCACAGCGAGAAAAAAACGTTGTATGATTAGAAATGTTATTTATTCTTCCGGATATTTCCATAACTCTCTCTTTGGTCGATCGGTCCTGACGTTGTGGTCGCGTCCTCGGGATTGTTTCAGGGAACAAAGTGGGTTCGATGGCGGATTCTGATTTATTTTATGGTTATAAATCTTTAGTTGTGACAGTTTTAGGCCTTAAAGTTCAGTGAAATGGATTTATATATATATATTTAGATATATTTATATAAATATTCCTAATATCGTAGAATTGACTCTGAAACAGAAAGGATTTACAGGAAATAGTATATTTTAAATTAATGTAGAGACTTTTTTGAGTGGCTACTGGGGAACAGTGACGAAAGGTCACAAGCAGATTTTTATTTTACATATATTATTAATATTATTTAAGTTTTACTTTCTCTTCTTCAGACTCGCCCACAGAAATAGTCGTTCTTCTTCTCCTTTATTTTCTGGCGTCTCTGAAGAGCTGCTGTGAATCTGAATGAAGCCTGGTCTCCTGTGGCGCCGCCCACCTGTCACTCAAAATAACTCACTATGCAAAATAATTATATTTTAATAATAATATGAACATTAGAACATATTTTGGTAAAAATTACATTTATTTGCTTATATTTTTGGCCTCTATGGGCTCCCATCCTCCCCCCTTATGGTCAGCCATTGTCTACTAATTTATGGCCCCCCTCTGAGGATCAATAAAGGTTTATCTTATCTTATTAATTTAGATTTTAACAGCAGAATAAGGTTTATCACTCTGCCTCCTTCCTTCGCCGCCATGAAGCCTTTCTGTAAATGTGTCGTCATGTTGACGAAGGAAACATTAAAAGTCACAAATAACAAAACAACAACAACAACAACAACAACAACAACATAATATTAACAGGTTGAAGGCTCAAGGAAAGGTAGAGTGAATTTAAAAAAAAACTGGGAACTGCTAGCGTATATAAGAATACAGAAAACTGTACGTCAGTGTCTGTCTGCCTGTCTGCCTGCCTGTCTGTCTGTCTCTCTCTCAGACAGACTGGAGAGCTTTGTGATTTACGTTCCTTCATTAGCGTCTCGTCTCTTTATCTGGTGACCGAGAATCAAACTGTTGGTTTTTACTTTCGGACAAATGAAGCAGAAACTCGACGGTTCGGACAGATGTCCCCCCCTCCCGCCACTGAAACTAAAATGTTTGAGTTGTAATTCGCCCCGGTGACCGATTAGAGGACAGACGGTGTGTGCTTAAAGAAAAGAGAGACACATTACTTATTTAACTGTTGTGTGTTTAGTGTTAATACTGAATCAGAGCGTGTTAAAGAGGCCTGAAGCTCTTTTAATTAACTTTAACTCAACCGTCTGTCTGTCCATATAAAATCCACCTGCACACATTCCTGCTCAGTGTGTGTCACAGTGACATTATATTATAGTTAAATAAGATCCGTCAGATCAGGTTCCTCATGACAAATAACATTTATTTCATTATATTTCTCAGGTTTGTCTTTTGGTTTTTGTTTTTAAGGAAGTTTGTTGGTTCTTCTATGGCAGGCCAGAATCAATACTTATGGACAAATCTGCAGCTTCTGACGTATATTCAGTACAACCGTATGAGGAACTGAAGACTTTGTGTAGTTAACACACCGCAGATCGCTGCAGAGATGATGTATTCTTGTAGTCGTCCTGGTTGCTTGTTTTCTGCAGCCAGCGGAGGTCACGTAAAGCGAGTTGAGCAGATAAACAGTAAAATGTGTTTGTGAACAGATCTGAGGAGAGAAACAGTCAACAACAGAATCTGGATCCATATCTGATCAGCACTGTTTGACAGTTTGATCTGAGTTTGGTTGAGCTGGACGGACTCACTGAGAATGAGCTGTCAATCACAAGGTAGCCCCGCCCTAAAGCATACCCGGCTTTATGGTCTGTTTTACTCTAAATGGGACCATCAGTTACTAAATGAACATCATGCTGTATGGAAGAAGACTGAAACTAGAGACTGAGACCAGAAACTCATCAGGAAACTGTTTACTGAGATAATGAATGAAGTCAGAAGTTGGCTAATTTTTCCATAAGACTCAATACTATCAGAGTATAGCTGCCCCCTGCTGACTGTTGGTTTAAGAAACTACTCAGACCAGGAAGCTGCCCACTAATTTCTAACTTTTATCTCCTCCACAGGTTCATGGTGGGTGAGTTGCTGCTTTATAAGATTCAGTTTTAACAAAATAAGAAGTCAGGCAGTGAAATAAATTCTGTAAATTCAGAATAAATGTACCTGTGGACGTACAGATAACCTGCAGCCTCATTCTTACCACTGGACACATAGTTCCCTGATGTCTTTTAGATGCATTTCCCCAGAATTCAGCCTCATTTATTTTGTATTTTGGGAAACCTTCCTGACATTAAAGCTCTGTTTGAGTTTGAAGACAGAGCTGAAGGTCATTAGTCCGGCTCATTGATCCAGTTTTAACAGCCGGACCCTCTGTTGAGGTTTAACAGTAACTCGTGGACACTGAGTCCATAAATGAATAAAAGCAGATAGGGTTCAGTTTATGCAAATCCAGCTGAGGCAGGTTGTCTATTTGAATACAGCAGATGAGAACACACATCAGTCCGTCCGAGTGCTGACGTCAGTTTATGTGAGCGGTTTATAACACATAATATAAAATACTACATACACTTCATTCACTTTTTTACATACTAACAGTTGGTGTGATTTTGTGCTCATCATTAAAGAGGCACTCACACACTTCAACAGCTATAAAATGAGATATATGACGGTACAGCCTCCCCCATCCTCCCCCAGCCTCCCCCAGCCTCTGTATACTGATGGAGACGCATCATTCATAGGAGGTTATGCTAGCTGTTGCTAACCCTCTACTCAGTATGTTTATATTGTCTCTCAGATTTAACCTGGTTACGTTTCTGTGTTTTACAGACGGAAAGACACGGACGAAAGACAAGTACCGGGTGGTTTACACCGACCACCAGCGGCTGGAGCTGGAGAAAGAGTTTCACTACAGCAAATACATCACCATCAGGAGGAAGGCGGAGCTCGCCACAGCGCTCGGCCTGTCAGAGAGACAGGTAAAGACAAAGAAACTCACTTTACTGCACTTTATTTAAGTTGTTTTAAAATTTTAAGTAACACAAACTCAGTTTTGTGAGTTACAGAAACCTACAAAAGTACAAAATAAGAATCCATGTTTCGATATCGATGCCTGTGAGCACTGATGTTATGACGATTGATAGATAGAGTCACTTTAAAACACCTTTTCTTCTGCTCCAGGTGAAGATCTGGTTCCAGAACCGCCGGGCCAAGGAGCGCAAGATCAACAAGAAGAAGCTCCAGCAGCCGGCCTCCTCCACGACCACACCCACGCCTCCCACCGGCACCAACGGCGGCGGTCTCCACGGAAACGGCGGGAGCAGCATGGTGACGAGCAGCAGCGGCAGCAACGGGCTGGTGTCCCCTTCCTCTCTGGCTTTGAACATCAAAGAGGAGTACTGAGGAGGAGGAGGAGGAGGATACAGATGTTTTATTGGACTGATGTCGGGGACGTGGACTGAAAATTCTCCCCGAACGAACTGAAAAACTTTTACGCGTCACATCCTGCCACCTTTTCTGTCCACTCCTCTTAAAGCTAAAGCTCGTTAAAAACGTGGGCGACGTCCTCAGCAGCTTCCTGTCCCATCAGACTGTCGCAGATGATTCCTGTTTGCTGGGACGTCGTCAGGTGAAATCAACCTGCTATAAAACAGGAAGTCTCTCAGGAGCTCTCAGGTGAAACTTTAATTCAGCTCTTCACCACCGCTGGATCCATCACGTGCCTTCAAGACTCACAGAACTTTATTGTAAATCCTTGTGGAGATCCCAAAGATACCAAAAGACATGTTGAATATTTCCATTTGATGGAAACAAACAGGTCTTGGGTTTGCTTTCACTCCTTTAGCTTCAATGAAGAGCTTCAGCGTACAGAATATATATGAAACTGTCAGACAGTTTGTTTTTTAACTCTAAAGCTACTTAAAAAAAAAGATTTTCAGGGTAAATCCAGATGTTTGTTTTTAGCTTGTTGATGATGCATTTAAAAAAAAAAACGTATCCTGCTTCATTAAGAAATGTTTTGTCGACCTTTATACCTTCATGGTCTGGTATGAATACTGGATTCTGATTGGCTGCTGGGTGTCCATTAATTCCTGATGTAGGACACCTGATGAGTAGTTCCAGTGAAACTGTCTGTTCACCGTCCTAAATTAATGAAAACTGAAATAAATTAAATGGAAAACATGTGAATATCTTGAATGTAGTCCTTCAGTGCCTCTGAATCCTCCTCTCACATCCTCTGTTTAACTCGCTGCTTCAGGCCGACAGGAACTTATCTTCATATTGATTTAGCGACAATAACCTGGCTGCTAGCTAACAGAGTTGCCACCCCGTCCTGTTTCTGACGATCAAATATCTCCTTAAAAAAGATGATTGATTAAGCTGCTTTTACTCTTACTTTTAACTGGAACAAACTTATTTTTTAAGTTACATAAAGATTCCTGATTAATAACTTTTTACGAGGTATTTTGTTTTCACAGGAAGTCAAAATTATCCATACTGGTCCTAGCTGGACTTGAACAGGCAACCCTCTGGTTCTAAAGCCAGCGGACTGAGCTGTACTGCCTTCGTTACAAACACTCAGACGTGCATTTATAAAAGTAATACTTTGTCGAGTATCTCCAGCCGCCCGTACGGACGCTGTCAGATCTGAACAGACGGACGAGAGAACTGAACTTCGGTCGGATAATCAGTTCAAAGTTATGAAAATGTAAAAGTTAAGTTAAATGAACTTGAGAAAACTAAACTAAAATATTAAATCAACAGATGTTTAGTCACATGAAGGCGGCTCCCAGGGACCTCGTTCAGTTATTAAATGCACTCGAGTAAAGAGTCTCAAATTAACACAACAAGTTTCCATCATCTCTGTTGTCCTTAAACTACGAAACAGAGGAGCTGAACTCATGTTTATGAGTTCTAAAATGGTCTGAAATTAAAAACATTTTAAGTTCAATTTACTTGAAAAATAATAAAATGTGTATAAAGGTTAATGATGATAGATTAATTGATTCTACTGTATGATGTTTAACAGTGAAAACCAGAAGTCACTTAGCTAAAGAACCCGGAGACAGGGTCAGGGGTCGGACCACACGGTGGTCGTAGTGTTATGGCTGATGGTGTCTGTCTCTCTTATCGTTTAACCATCTTCTAAATGAGGTTGTCTTTCCAACACAGATTAGCCTAGCACGTAGCATATCTGAGTACAGGAAAGGAGGAAGTTGCCCGAGGGTTGCTCAACCGTTATTGGAGCACAGGGCAAAAGGGGGGCGGGGCTTATGACAGGTAAATTAAGGCCTGATATCCTTCAGTGGATGGAGCCGATGGGTTCGTACTCAGTGTGATCAGGATACTTTTCTCTTTGAACTGTAATAATTTGGAGGTTTAACAAACATTGTGAAGGAGTCGAATAATGACAGCAGGTCACAGAAAGATGGAACGAAAGAAACACACACACACACACACACACACACACACACACACACACACACACACACACACACACACACACACACACACACACACACACACACACACACACACACACACACACACACACACACACACACACATATATTTGCTAATTGATACAGCAGTTGAGGTGTGGTGTCCAAAGGGCGAAGAGGCTCACTGGGCAAACAGAGCACAGGATCCTGATATCTGTGTGTGTGTGTGTGTGTGTGTGTGTGTGTGTGTGTGTGTGTGTGTGCGTGCGTGCGTGTGTGTGTGTGTGTGTGTGTGTGTGTGTGTGTGCGTGTGTGTGTCCTCACTCAGACCTTTGTCCTTCTGGGTCCATTTCAGTCCTATCTTAACTCTGATAGAGACTATCAGCAGTGTGTGTGTGTGTGTGTGTGTGTGTGTGTGTGTGTGTGTGTGTGTGTGTGTGTGTGTGTGTGTGTGTGTGTGTGTGTGTGTGTGAGCCGTTCAGGCAGCCATCTTGAACTTGAGTCTTACGTAAACAACGTTTTAAACTCAGAACAAAAACCAACATTGAGAAAACGTAATGAATAAACTATAAAGTAGGAACTAGATGAGCTAACACATGGGTCGGTACCGTTGGTGTCGTACTAGAACTTCGGGGACAGAGGCCACATTCATAAGATCCCTTTGACCTCTGACCTCAAGATATCTGAAAGAAAATGATTTCCCTTTGCAGACGAACACTTTATCTTAATGTCATTTTGTATTTATTGGCTTTTATTATCAATGACAATATAAAATATAAACGTAAATAAATAAATATACACGTTTGTTAAGTGTCTGAAACCTGCATTCTGTGTAACGGCCAGCAGGGGGCAGCTCCATTGGTTGCACAACAAAGTCCAATAGAACTGAGTCTTATGGAGAAATAAGCTGAATCTCAGTTAATTAATTGTCTCAGTAAACAGTTTCCTGATGAGTTTCTGGTCTCAGTCTCTAGTTTCAGTCTTCTTCCATACAGCATGATGTTCATTTAGTAACTGATGGTCCCATTGAGAGTAAAACAGACGCCTCCACTATTGTGTAGTTTTATTCTACCAACAAGATGCTGGAATTTGTGACTGTTTGTGGTAAAGATGCAAAATTATTTATCATAAAGGAAAGTAAACATGAAAGTAAACGATGGCAACAGGAGTTCATCTGAAGTTCAGTATGAAGGAATAAAGAAGAGTTTAACTTTAACAACACAAGCTTTACTTTTATAGTTCAGACACTCCCAACATTTCATCCACTATTGATAAGCTGCACTATGTTGTATAATAGGAGACATGGCAGCGTGCCCATAAAGAACTGAAACCAGTTCGGTGCAGAAGCTTCACTTTTATTTATATTTATGTGATGTAATATCACAAATTATACATTTTCTTCAAAGATCTTTATTGTTTGTGCAACACAACAGTTGTTTTACTGTAAAATGTGACTTATGTCAGCATGAACTGATTTCAACCAATAATATCAGACATTCACTCGTCAATCAATCAGATTCATTAGTTAGCTTGCTAACAGCATGGCTAGCAAGCGGAGCTCACTGATTACTGTACAAACACAAAACTTTATCAGTTTGAGTGAAACTGGAGAGAATAATGAAACTGGATCAGATTTAATGGAGAGATTATTGTCTGCAGTCGTTAGCGTTAGCAACTGAACGGGGCTCAGCAGCCTCCAGTGAGACAGACAGACAGACAGACAGACAGACAGACAGACGACAGACAGACAGCGGTACCGAGGAGCCTTCAGTTACCAAGCTCCTCTCCTGTGGAACCAGCTTCCAGTTGTGGTTCGGGAGGCAGACACCCTCACCACATTCAAGAGTAGGCTTAAGACATTCCTCTTTGATAAAGCTTATAGTTAGGGCTGGATCAGGTGAGTCCTGAACCATCCCTTAGTTATGCTGCTATAGGCCTAGACTATCGGGGGATTTCCCATGGTGCACTGAGCTCCTCTCTTCCTCTCTCTTTCTGCACTCATTCATGTCCCATTAATGCATGTTACTAACTTCACATCTTCCCCGGAGTTCTTGTGCTTTCTCGTCTCGCAGGTTCTTGTCGATCCTGGTGGAGCCTCCTGCCATGGTCCTGCTAGACTGCCATTGTCAATACTGTTGTTGCTGTGCACCTGTCTGTCTGTCTGTCTGTCTGTCTGTCTCTCTCTCTCTCTCTCTCTCTCTCTTCTCTCTCTCTCTCTCTCTCTCTCTCTCTCTCTCTCACCCCAACTGGTCGAGACAGACGACCACCCACCTAGAGCCGGAGGATCTGTCCTAGGTTTCTGCCTTTTAACAGGCAGTTTTTCCTTGCCCTTGTCTCCAAGGTCTTGCTCATGGTGGTACTGTTGGGTCTCTGTAATTAATG